AACCACATATCCAAATAACCTGATAACCAGGCAAGCGTGAACAACCACACTTACAAGAGTTTTCAAGTATTGGGCAAACAAAAAAAAACTCGGGAAAAAATTTTCCAGAGGTCGATCTTTCAATAATACATATGCGCTTGCACATCGTTACCTTAGTATCGGTATTAGGCATAAAACGATACCATGGAAGTATCGTTACCTGTACTTGGAAGCAGCATCGAAAGAAAGTATCGCTACCTAGTAAGTATCGGGATGAAAGTATCGATACCTACTTATATCGATATTTGTACCTACATATATGTATAAGAATTGTTTGTATAAAAGAATATCTATGAATTTTTGTCATAATAACTTATGTGACTACCATTTTTGATGGTACTTAATCTTTTTAAGAAAAACTTTAAATTTAAAAAAAAGTTTTACTAGGATGGCCTCCCAAAATACATAAAAAAAGTTCAAAGTCTAATAAGTTGTTTTTTAAAAAGTCCACAGAATTTCTTTAACATATTTTTTTTATTTTTTATGTATGTATTTTATTTGTTATGCATAAATATGTATTATGTACAAAGAGAAAGTGATTGGATCAAAAACATTTTTTATATAATTTATTTCATACACATTAATTAATTAATAAAAGTTATCTGCATTACAACACTGTTCAACAGCATTTATGAGGAGTAACAATGGTATATGTAGTTCTGAAAGAAGTAATCATGTTGATAATTTTTGGAGGACAAAATTATAGTGTAGTGTAGGCATTCATACCACTAGCTTAGAGTAGAAAGTTGCTAAGTCTATTTGAAGAAAGTTTACAGGGAAGGAAAAAAACATTTCAAATCATTTCCTTCAAGAATTTTGCAGAAGGTCCCGGTGAAAACTAAAAGGTTTAGAATTTTTTGTAAGCTAATCGACTTTTCTGTGCCTCTTTTGGACTTAATAAATCTGCCTTTAATTGAATATAAACGGGAAGAAATAAAACAATTACGTAAGTTAATCTTTTTATATACGTTGCGTTATTAATTTACCTTGCTTTCTATATCCAATTATAAGTTTTCACAAAAACTGGACTTAGCCCCTTTTCACTTTAAGCTAGCGATAAATTAATGTTCATTGGCTACTAAACTGCCAACAATTTTTAGCTATTGACAATAATAATTAGATTAAAAAATAAAAGTCCGCTAATAAAATTGTCACTGAATTGGATTTCGATACAAGTACATTCTTCCGATACCTACTCACTACGCGGTTCAAAAGTATCGATACCAAAATTACTTAGTATCGGACGAAAAGCCTCGAGTATGTACTTGTATTTACTATTATCGTTTTGTCCCTAAAGCAGAATATACACAAGCAGACTTGTATGCATACTTGGTCGCTTGTCAGTTCAGTATACACCTATGCGACACGTTGTTCAAACTTCATTTCGTTGTAATCGTTGAAGTGAACGAACATAACGGCATACGAATCTATGTCTTCCCAGCAAGTATTTATAGGCACAAATTATTCATACTGGACTCTTATTGCCCTCACATGCGGCTCGTTATTGAGTCAAATTTGTAGGTTTTTTGATGAATATACTAAAACCGTTTTTTTCAATAAATTATTTGCAAGTTTCAGGTGGCTTTTCTTTACGGCCACCGCCCCTCTCCTCCGGCAACACAGGAGAATTCTACTTAGTAAGGGTTTAATCCCTAAGCGCGGCCGAAGACCGCCTACGCAAAGGAACTTAAAAAAAAAAGCCACCGGAGCCTGACGCCTTTACCTTTAAGCACTAGAAATGGTATATACCATGGGTCGGCCCTCTCTTCTCCGGCA